GTCATCCGCGCATGATTACCCACGCGAGCGGGCGGGAAAAGTGACGTCAGACGGCCACGCGGAAATCCTGCTCCGAAGTCCCTCCTGGTCCGAAGGTGGCCCTTGGTAGCTCCGAAGTTCCTTCGGGCCGACAACCACCGGGATTACATTCGGGTTACAAATCGTCCCATTGGACCACGTGGTTAGGGGGTTCACGGGGGGAGCTTCGTTTCCGCGTCCGCGCACCACGTGTCGGTCGTACATCGCGATAGCAAACTTACGCGGCACTATCTCATAGGCATAGAATTCACGTGTCACAAAAATGCTCTCGCCGAGAGTCACGAATATGGACACGCGGCCGTCTGTCGTTGCAGAGCGACACTCGCTAACGTTTCACCAAACTCCACATGACTTGATATGATTGGTGCACGACGCGATCGTGCCACGAAAACGTGACAAACGCAGCCGTGGGTCCCACGTCACAGTGGGCGCACTTTGACTTGACAGGGCCGCGAAAGCGAAGCGCGGGAACCGCATTTCGGCCATGCACCGCACTACAGCCGTCAGCAAAACCACGAGAATGCCGGGTGGCAGGACAGAACCACAACGTAACAATCAAGGGTCAGAGGAACATTTCGCACCCCACACGCAATCTCCGAAATCGCGCGTATAAACCCTAGAAAGTTCTCATTTCGACCCCTTTCATCTTTCCTTATCTCCTTCTGCTAGGCGTCTAAACATTTCCGTCTAGGACTTAGTCGTTTCTGAGGGGTAGTGGACCTTAGGATCTTTCCGCGTTAGGATCCGCGATAGTAGATTTCTGTAGACTCGAACACGACAGAATCACGAGCAGTACCACGGACGACGCGAAACTGTGATGCAACAGTGAGCAAGGATGACTCGACCACGGCATGGAAATTCGCGCCGTCCAGCTTATCTAGGGCTATTCGAACCTCCTACAACGTATCGCAACCCATCTGCTTACGCGCCAGCACCCGCGGATCCGCGAAACTTCTCGTTCTACTGCCGTGGAACAGGTTGCCACGGCCGCTTTGAACCACACCCGCGTGGCGCTCGGCACAGGTTACGCTTGGGGAATGACCGAGAACCAAGCCCCTCCGGCATCTCAACCTCCACCTGCTCGTGTGCCATTCGCGCCAGTTTTCGCGTGGGGTACAAGTGGGTCGCGTATAAATCCTGTGTCTCAGAACCCCGGAAACGCCAACCGCGAAACACCCAGAACGCGAAGTGTACAACAGGCGCATGCAGCAGGACCTTCGGGGGTGCCACAAGCGTCCGCACACGGGACTTTCGTGGGTCAGAACGTGCCTGGTATGCCGCCATCAGAGCCCTATCCTTTCGAAAGATACCAGAATGTAGGTTTACGCCACACGATTTTCACCCGCAACACGGTTCCCTCACCTTCTCAGGCGTTTCGCGCACGCACCGCGACAGTAGTTCCAGCACCGACCACGGAAACACATGTACCTGTCTCGCCTAGCCCGCAAGCTACGTTCGCGAGTCAACCATTGCACGCAGCTGGCCATAGTGGAATCGCGGAACAGCATGTTGGCCCTGAGCTCGGAGAAACCACGCCGATAGACCCGAGCCAAATTATCAGGATCAACCCCGAAGAGGTACCGATCACCCTACCTGAGGTTTTCGTCCACCCCGAACCGGGACCGGGAGGAACCACCGTTCGCAATCAGTCCAACGTTATTAGACCCCACCGTTCGCAATCAGTCCAACGTTATTAGACCCCACAGCATTCCCGAAACACGAGAAGACGCGGCTGAGGTAGCGGCAATATTCGACCGTGTGGAGACGGGGGCGGATGAAGCGACAGAAGGCCCACCAATTTCGGCATGGGAGAGGATGCTTGCTGCAAACGACATCAGCTCGAAAATATTCTTTGTCGTTCAAATCTGGATGCTGTTGGCGGAAAGCACGAGGGCAAAATACAGGGCCGCAATCAAGGAGTTCAAGAGGTGGTTCGCATGGGAGGCGCCGCGATTGCCACCGGGAAACTACCCTCCAGACGCGAAATTGAAGCACGTGGATGAAGTGGGGTTTGAATTAGGGATGTATCTCGGTGCAGCCTGGGAGAGTGCTCCAGATGGCGATTGTCTTTTCCATGGTCCGAAAATAACACGCTGGCGATTGAAGATGTTCATAACGTACTGCTCTCAGGAAACCGAGGATCAGGCTCGAATGTTGGCAGAGAAGAATACCACCACGCCGATCAGAGAGCGAGTTGCATGCAGCGTCACAATGGTCCAGGCACGATTTAGCGCCCTGAAAACCCAGTGCCGGGCGGAAATGGTGTTACCATTTCCGGAAGACCTTACCACGAAGATTGACGAGGTTCGCGTTGTGGTGGCGCTTATGATGCGCCAGCGGTACGCCCGCTTCAGAGAGTGAGTCGCACGCTCGCGTTTCCGTGCGAAATGTGTTGTTTCCGAAATTGGGTTCGTGGTACTCACTAGTCCCAACGGTGTATGAGCAGGATGTACCAAGATCGTCACAAGGGCACGACCGGCGACACCTACGACATGACGGAGTTCAATACCCTCATGATCGTCAGCTGGCCTACCGACGCGATTAGCCGCTTCAACCCCAACGTCCCGGTGCCTTCACAACTGCTGCACCGCTCGCTTTTCGCGAAGACGATGATGCTCATCAGCCATCACACTTTGGCTCGCGCGGGAACTGTCCGCGAAATCCAGCTGGCTGACCTAATTTTCCACAAATTTGGTCGTCTGGATGTGACCAACCCTATCGGTGACGCGGATCTCTTGACGATCGTGACGCGGACAGGAAAAACGAATCCCAACTTCGGAATCCACAAATACGTGGCAGCGCGTCATAGCGACTACCAGGTCTGCAGTGTCGGCCACCTCGTTCGCCTTCTCCACTGGGTCTACGACAGCGTTCCCAGCTTTTACGGGGAGCACTACGTCAGGCCGTTGAATTTCGCGGAGCCGAAAGAGTGGTACGATGTGTATGTCTTCTTCTCGTACAACGGCGGAAACAAGGTGCCCGTGCCACACACGACATACAACGACTGGGTACTACACGGATACGACATGGCAGACATCCAGATTTCGCGCGTGACTCATGGACCTCGCGCGTCCAATACGCAGCTGCTGTCCATGGCGGGTGTAGCTGACGACCAGATCGGGAGGCACGGAAACTGGAGAACCAATGCCCTCACGACGCATTACCTCCCCGGTGTTGCGCGTGAAGCTGTCTTGGTGACCTCTGGGCACACGGGTCTGCCTGGGGATTATCATCTCGGTCGTTCGAAGGTTGAGCCACCGCCCAGGGCGCAAGAGGCCATCAACCGCCACGTCTTCCCATTTGCCGAAAAGCAGCTGGAACTGGTGAGTTCCCGATGAACCGCGGAATCCACCTTCACAAATACAGAACGTTATGCCTTACGACCTCGGAATATTTTTCGTGTAGGCGCAGCTGTTCAACTCCACGCAACAGAGGCACGAGCGTGACATGGCATCCATACATCTTCTTAAGGCATTTGCCGGCACCTGCAGGAGAACGCTAGCGGAAGACATGGCGATGCTGTGCGTTCAGCATCCCAACCATCCGGAAGTCCGTGCGTCTCCGTTGTGCAAGGACCGCGATTTCCACGTTTGGGCGCGGGGGGTTGTGTGGAGCGACGATGTCGGGAGAGCCATGAGAAACTCCCCGACGCTCACCCGCGGAGCGGTGTGTGAAGCCTAGCAGAAAATTCAGTCCTTTTCGCAACCTCCATCTCTTTAACCATGTTCGTGCCTCTTTCATTGCAGGAAGTGGCCCGACGCTGCCACGCGGAACACAGCAACGTCGTCCTCACCACGATGCTGAACAAAGAGAGGGACGCGAGCAGGCAAAAGTCGGTGGAAAACGAAGCACTGAAGCACAAGAATGGCCAGCTGGAGCAACAGTTGGAGGAATTGACCCGTAGGCTAGCGGCGGCCTCAACGGGATCGCCAGCCCCACAGGTGGAAGAGACCCTGGACTCGCCCCCTCCACCTCCCACGCTATCCGACATGGACAAGGCTTTCAAAAAGGATATGATCGCGCCATGGCTGAAGGCGAGCACTACTCGGCTGGCATGCAAAAAATGGAACGCGCGCCACGGTCTCACAGGCCTGACTGTTCGTGGCGAGATGGCCGCGGGTGGGTTTGCGAAAAAATACATGCTTGCGGGGTCAGAGGATTCGGCAATGCAACGGCAAAAGCGCCTCATGGTCGCCGTCGCCGATTACGCGGCGAGTTACGCCGGTGGGGAGGCTGCTGTGGTGGCTAAATTTGATCTGATCGCGGGGCCCATGGGGTTCACTGTCAGAATGATGTAATTGTCTAGCCTGCAGTGGGGTACTCTATAGAGAGTACAACCCAATTAGGGTTTCCTATATGTATCTCAACTGCTGCTAGTGCAAACCTCTCTTTCTGCTTCTAAACTTTTCTTCGTACTTGTGACATTCACCACCTTCCGCGACGGGCTGACAGTACGCGGCACAAAACCCATCAACGACTCCTACGACAAACTCAAGGCGCTGAAAGGAGCCGTGGGCGAGAAAGTGAAGGTGGCGCTGGCGCTCGTGGCTGAACATTTTGAGAACGTGGAGTGGGGGCGAAAGTAGTTCCCGAAGAGCTGGGACGCCTTGTTCGGCTCCAGGAAACGACCGCGTGTTGAATAGTTTCGCGCTACCGACCTTCCGCGATGTCCATTGTGTTTGTCCGCGAAATCCACTGGAAAGGTTGTGCGAAAGTGAACCACTTTAATTTCGGGATTGTGTGCATGCTACATTTTGCATAGAGTTGTGTGCAATTTGAAACCCAATTGTCGTCCCTAATAGAGTCTTGCAAAACAAGTAGCATCTTTAACGGTTTCTAAAAACCATTTATGTTTACCTACTCTGAAAAAGTGAGAGTCATGCACGCGAAAACCGCGTGCAGCCACAGAAGCGAAACAACTACAGTTAGAGCATATACGAAGCCAAAACTCCCCACACAAGTTACTCGTCATCATCAGAAATCTCTTCAACGTTCTCCTTCCCAGGTTCTGGGGATGGCGGGGATGGCTGGGATGGCTTCTTCGCACGCGAACGCGAGCTGGGCTGGTTCCTTGCTTTGGCGCGATCATTGCTGCACTCCAAAAACAGGCCGACACCCCTCAACTTCGCTGCTGCCTCGGGATCGTAACACCATGTGCTCAGTACATCCACCATCTCGTGCACGAGGGGTTCCAAACTCTTGTTCTTCGCACCCTTGAAAGCGGCCACCACCTGCTTCTCCACATCGTCCGCATCGTCGCTTGTCTTCAGAGCCACGATAATGTTCAGCCACGCGGCCAAGATTAGCTCCACGCTCAGGCCCGGTGCTCCAGCCTTCTCTGCAGCGCGTTTCGCTTCCGTGTCAGCGAAGCCGCGATCACGTCCCTTGGAGACTAGCCACAAGAACGTGACCGTATACGCCACGGAACCGGCAAGAGCACCCTCTGGAACCTTCGATTTCGCGTAATGCTTTCCTGAAACGCGAAAACATGCTTCTCATCCTGCATTGGACACAGGCATCGAACGGAAACTAAGCCAAGACCACAATGGCGCAAGTCAATCCGCGAAATATAGACCGAAACTGAAAGGCATAGTAAAAAAATCAGAGCGCGAAATCGACAGCAAGAAACTATAAAACGCGAAATCGCTAAGCGTAGTACAAAATAACGACACATACCTTTTGCCCCCAGTGCACATGCCGCGAAGAAACATTACCGCGAACACCCCCGGATGCAAAAGACGCGCAACATCCAGATCCGCGGTCCATTTCTCCTCTTCCGTTTCTGACAAAACCATCTTGTCGCTCGGAACCTTCTTGTGCCACACGGTCTGTACAACCGCGGCAGTATATCGCGCCTTTGCCAGTGCGTTGAAACTGCCAAAGTACCAGCGCAAGTTCTGGTAGTGCAATTCCAGCGTCCACACCGTTCCTTTCACGTTTACCCGAATGCCAACTCCGAGCTCCTTGTCCTTCGCGGGTCCCTTTTCCTTCGCGGGTACCTTTTCCTTCACGGGTCCCATTTCCTTCGCGGCTCCCTTATCCTTCGCGGGGCCCTTATCCTTCGCGGGTACCCTTGCAGTCCCCTTACCACCCTTGAGTCTTGCCATGAACGCCAGGGTTGCCTTCGTGGCCTCGGTTTCGTCAGGATCTGTGCCGTCCGCTCCCCCGATAAGCGGCACGACCAGTGTCCCGCCAGTGGCTGGACCAGCAGAACGACCTCCAGCGCTGCCAGCCGCGAACTGTGATGGCCCGTGCGGAACTTCACCACCCACATTTCCGATTGCGGGTTGACGGGTGATCATCGGGTCGGAGTTTGATTTTGCCTTTTTCGGAGGGGGGGGGGTGGCTGCGAGAGGAGCAAGAAGGACCGCGCTGCGCTTCCCGCTTTTTTCGTCTCCAACTGCTGCATCGGCGGATTCCATACCCGGGCGCCGCCCTTGGCCCGGATCCCGCACACCATATCCACCCCATTCGCCCGCGATTGCCAATCCCGTCTCTCCACCACGAACCTTTGCGAAGAACTCCATCCCCGTTGGCCCCGACGAAAAAAGGCCGCGTTGCGAAACCATCGACATGAAGGCAGAAGCCGCCTCCGCCAACTTCGCTATGGCACGCTCCGACGACTCCCGCTGCGCTGTCGCGGATGCACGTGTGCACAGCATCCGCGAGATCCTTCCCAGCACGTCTCTCCATGTCCTCCAACCTCCTAAGAGCACTGGCATACGTGTCGGTCACTCGAGACAACGCGGCGCGATGCTCCCCCATCCTCGTCAGTAGTTCGCGGATTTTCTTGCGCTGCACGAAGTTGTCGTGTCGCGCATCAGCCAGGTCCATCCTCGAATTCTCGAGCGCAGAGTCCAGTCGGACGACCTCATGCGACAGAGCAGGCCACGATGACAACTCGTCCACGGTCCGCCTTTGCGCGATCGAACGCTCTGACCGGCGCGCAAGCCGTGTCTGTCCCACGAATCCGCGTTTCCCAACGGCGCGAAACTGCGGAGCTTGATGAGCATCGTCAACCGGTGCTCCAATTTTCGTGCTGCCTACCGCAATCTTGTGCCGTTCATCACGATCAGCTCCCTCGGCCTCCTCTTTGCCCTCGCCTCCGCTCTCCCCCTCGCCCTCACCCTCCCCACCGCCCTCACCCTCCCCATACCCACCACCGTGGCCCTCCTCGTACCCACCCTCCCCGCCCTCCCACTCCTTTTCGTCATCCTCCTCGTATTCGGCCTCGTTTTCGCCCTCCTCCCCATACCAGCCCTCGCCCTCACCTTCGCCCTCGCCCTCGCCTTCGCCCTCGCCTTCGCCCTCGCCCTCGCCCTCACCTTCGTCCTCGCCCACGCCCTTGGCCGCGCCATTATTCTTGCCCTCCTCCTCCCCCTCGGCCTGGCCATTGTCCTCGCCCTTGTTCGCGCCCTCGCCCATGTTTACGACCTCACCCTTTTTCGCGCCCTCGCCATTCTTCGCGCCCTCGCCCTTTTTCGCGCCCCCGCCGTTTGTCGCGCCCTCGCCCTCGCCTCTGCCAGCTTCCGCGCCGGCACCCAGAACTCCCGCTCGCCTATGTGCAACCTCCCCTGCCCCACCGTGGCTGCGGGTTCCGACTGCTTCGTTGTACCGCGTGTCAATGGCGATGTCTTGGGCATGCCTCAGAATCTTATCGTGCAAAGGCTTCAAAGCCTTCACGGACGCTGCACGGACAGGTTCACCAGGTGATTTCACAATAGCCTCGAACTCCGAGAGGATGCGCGAAAATCCGTATACCGCCTGTAATCCGAAAACGGCCTTCACCTTGTCCAATGCGCTCATGTCCTGCACGCGACCGTCGTAAACACGGGAAAAAAATCAGAATGCACACGTAGTCATTCGTGTGCGGAACATAGGAGGCGCGAATTTACCATGGTCTCGCGCTTCAGCTTTTGCACGCGCTCATGCGCAAATACAAGGCTGGGCTCGTCGTCTGTGTCTTCGTACTTCTCCACGCGTCTCTTGAACCAACTACGTGCATAACAACAATCACGGAGTTAGCACGCGAAAGTAAACCAGAAGTTAGAGTTGCCACGAAACCGCGAAACTTACTCTATGATTTTCGTGGCCATCTCCCGCTGCGGGTCGGGCCCAAAACACAGGTCGATGTGGATAATACGCGTGTTGGAGGTCTCGTCCCTATCATATTGCAACTGATTTGGCTGCAAGATAACGAGGACGCTGCAAACCGTGCTTCCGTCTTCGGGCCTGCATCACTCTCGCATAATCGGAGTCAGGAGGAGGCACGAACCTCGATTACACACCACTAGAGCGGCCAATACTTACTTCGACCACATTGGGAAAACAAGAAGTTCCTTGTTCAACATGTCCGAGATCTCCGCGTTCGGATTCATGGTCTGTTTCGTGCAGTCCGAAAGCCACAAACTGCCCTGCTCCGACGATGTGACAATTCGTGTCGACTCCTTGCGGTCGCCGCCGAGTTTCGCCAACACGAAGCTGCAGGATGCACACCCACGAGCAATCCTTAGCAACGCGAATATCAGCGTACTTCATCGAGGTGGAAACATTAGGTCGCCCGCAAACACTTACAGGCAAGCGAAATCCAGTGCGGCGGGGGTGTACTCGACGCTCTCATCCAGAATGGCTTCCTTGTCATTTTCCGTCAGCACGACGGACACACCGCCCGCTTCCATGGCGACATCCACTTTGTTGAAACTCTCCAAGCGGTTGTAAAGCGCGCGCCTCTCACGTAACATCCTGTTTCAAGCGCGAAAACAACAACCGCGGAAACGCATTACTTGCGAGTGCCAAGATAGCAACACAAAAAAACGCAGCAACTCGAATTCGCCGGACAAAAACGCTCGCATTCGCGCGACGCAAAAATAGAACAAAATAACCGCGAAAACTAGCGCGATGTATCTGTGTGCGGTACCAACACCTCTGACCCGAGAGTGCTGCCAGGTCGGTTTCGCGAAACCTCAGGCACTCTAAACACCTACAACAACGACATCCGAAGCCACGGAAACACCAGCGACAACAGCATCTGTCCCCCGAAATTAACGCGACTCCACCAGCAACCACGACTCCACCAGCAACCACGGAAACAGCATCTACTATTCCACCACCACCCTCCCAAACTACCACCCGTCCTCCACCCTCCGCGGCTCCCCTACTCCCGAGTCCCCACATCCCCCCTTCCTTGACCCCGTCCCATTTCTCACATGGAAGAAGGCTTGCTTGAAGGGAAGGAGAGATGAGAAGCTGCAGAAGGAAGATTTCCGAATGCGAATGCACAAATGAGAAATGACGGCCACCAACGACAAATATCCGATTCCACAAGCACCCACCAGAGCGAAACGCCTTAGGTTCGGCCCCACGCGAACCAAGGGTTTCGGGCCGGAATTGTCCCCGAAGCGTGGACAAGGCTCGGTTTGGACGGCCTCGTTTATTTTGAGCATCTGGATTTGACGCGTGTACCTCCCGAGTTCACATGTTGGTGTACACGTTTTGGTTTCTTCCGCGTTTGTTTATGTTATTGCGTTTTTCGTCTTGGGTTTCGGAAAAGTCGGTAACTCGAAAATCATGCATCCGTAACAAGTTCGTCGCACGCGCGCCGGACGACCGTGCATGCGATGTCGCAGAGGGCTCGGGCGACAGCATCCCACCCGTGCCCGTGCTGAGTCAGCTGGGCTGGGCTTGGGCAGCTGGCCGAGTCAGGTGGTCCCCACGGAGGTGCGTCGCTCGGGTGGGTGGTGCGTCATCGGTGGTCCCAGGCGGGCAGTCGGTGCCTCGGTGTCCCGGGCAGGGGCCGAAGGGTCGGCCCTCCGAAATCACGCTAAGGGGTTGGCCGCGTGCCCCAGTGCCAGGCTGGGCCTGCTTCGCGTGCTGGGCTAGCGACGCCGAAGGCATCGAGGTCCTTCGGGCCCCCAACTTCGGAAGGAGAAGCTGAACTTCGGCCCGATTAGAGTGGTAAATATAGAATACACCTCATTTTCGCTAGCCCTACTTTTAATATTAGAGTTATGGTATTACCAAAACAAGGAGAAACGTTTTCCAATTTGAGACTCGAACATCTATTGAACCCAAGTGCCTTGGCGTGCAATAGCCTGAGAGTGAAAGTAAAGTGGCTAAATTTGTAACATACAAAGAGAGCTCATGAATGAAATACTCCATGTCTCATTTTGTTGAAGCAATATTTGCCAAAACAATGCGCATCTGAATGGATTTTCATTGGAGAAATATGCGAATCGTAACTATTATGGGGCTAAAAAACGAATACGATCACCATTTAACTGTATTTTTTGTCAAACTTATATGTTGCATGTTGTGTAGGTTGTAGTGGGGTAGCCCATATGGGGTACAACCTAATTAGCATTTGATACTTGTACTCCTACATGCTGTTAGTTTCACCATTCTCGCTTAGTCTTCTGACATGGTTTCAGAGCAGGTCCTGTTCCAGGGCCGTTTTCTTTTTAGGGCCCACCGAGTAGTTCCATGCCTGTAGTGCGTTACCCTGTTCGTAGCGCCCTACCCTGCCCGTCGCGCTGCCCTGCCCTGCCCGCGCGCTGCCCTGCTGGCTGCCGCGCCGTCCTGCCATGCCCGCGCGCCACCCTGCTGGGTGCCGCGCCGTCCTACCCTGCCCGCGCGCCACCCTGTTGGCTGCCGCGCCGCCCTGCCCTGCCCGTCGCGCCGCCCTAGGACCCGCGCGACGAACTGCCCTGCCGTCGCGTCGCCCTAGGACCCGCCCGACGCCCTGTCCTGCCCGGCGCGTCGCCCTAGGACCCGCGCGACGCCCTGCCCTGCCCGTCGCGTCGCTCTAGGACCCGCGCAACGCCCTGCCCTGCCCGTCGCGTCGCCCTAGGACCCACGCGACGCCCTGCCCTGCCCGTCGCGTCGCCCTAGGACTCGCGCGAAGCCCTGCCCTGCTCGTCGCGTCACCCTAGGGCCCGTGCAACGCCCTGCCCTGCCCGTCGCCTCACCCTAGGGCCCGTGCAACGCCTTGCCCTGCCCGTCGCGACACCCTAGGGCCCGCCCGCCGCCCCTTTTCTGCCCGCGTGTCGCCCTAGGGCCCGCGCGCCGTCCTTGCCCTGCGCGTCGCGTCACCCTAGGGCCCGCGCGCCGCCCCTTTCCTACCCGTGTGCCACCGTTCCTGCCCGCGCGCCCGCTGCCTAAGCGCGCCATGCCCGCACGCAAACCGGCTAAGTGTGCCCTGCCCGCACGCGCGCCCTGCAGCCAGCGCGCCGCCCTGCCCTGCATCCCGCACGCCCTGCTGCCCTGCACAGCGTGCGCCCTGCTACCCGCGCCGCCCGCCGCCCTGCCCAACTAGATCCGCCCTGCTGCTCGTGCTACTGCTGCTGCTGGTGGAGGTTCAGCTAGGAGTGCTAGAGGTGCTGCAACCTAGATTACCGAGCCGCTCTGCTGCTACTACTGCTGCTGCTGCTGCTCATGCTACTGCCTTCTCTGCGTGCTGCCGTACTGGTCGCACACCTCCTTACTTTGCCCACTATGGCGTCTCTTCGTGGTAGCGGTGGGAGTGGTGGCGACGATTTAGGCAGCAGTGGGAGTGGTGGCGGCGGCCGTCGTGGCAGTTTTGGTGGAGCTGTTCGGTGAGGAGTTTCTGGCGGTGGCCAGCTGCAGCTCCAGCGGCATCCGCGCGAGACCCCCATGCCTCAGCAGCTTCGTGAGTGGTACGCTAGTTGGTGTAGTGCCGGTGGCCATAGTGGCAGTCGACGTGGAGATGTTCAGAGGAGAGCTTCTGGCAGTGGCCAGATGCAGCTGCAGCGGAGTCCGCGCGAGACCCTTACGCCCCAGCAGCTTCGTGCGTAGTACGCTCAGCGTGGGGCGTTTCGGAGTAGTGCTCCCTGCCCGTACGTCATTCGCACAGGTGACCGGGCTGGTCAGACTTGCGGGACACCTGGTCACACACACTCCCGCTGCTTCTCCTGTTTGAGCAACACCTGGCGTGCTGAGTTTGGCGACGCGGCTGAGCACCCCCGTTGGCTAGAGCTGCTTAGGCAGGGTGTGAATATCTTTGCACTAGACTATGACGCTATCCTCACTGCCATGTATGCTGTGACTATTAGTACTCAGGGTGACTGTTACCTGTATGTGCCGCCAGACCCTGGTATAGAGGCTGCTGCTCTAGGTGCTGGTGCGTCTGCTCTAAGTGCTGGTGAGTCTGCTCTAGGTGCTCGTGAGTCTGCTCTCTCTGGTACTGTGCCTACTGAGGCCTTGCACACCTTCAGGCTTGACTCAGGTGCTTCCCGCTGCTTCTTTCGCCACAGGACCACGGTCACACCACTCACAACACCGGTTGCAGTCTCTCTGGCTGACCCCACTGGGGGACCGGTTTTTTGCACGTTCCCCCGCTGTTCTCCCGTGTCCGGCGGTTCCATCTGGCTCACTGTCACGTCTTTACCTCCCCTCGTTCTCTACGAACTTGGTGAGCAAGGCCGTCCTTCAGGATGCTTTATTCCTGGAGGACAGCGTGTGGCGATCTGCACGTGTGCACGGACGGGCCGTCACCTTGCAACGTTCACCCGTCGGCCTGGGTCGAGCCTGTACACACTGACTACTGAGCCTCCTCAGGTAGCTGCTTCTGCGTACGCGTCAGCTTGTGGCCCCCTACTCGTGTCACGCCCTGTTGCACTAGACTCTCCTTTGGCACCACCGCCTCCGTGGCATGCACTCCCGTCTCCTTGTCTCTGGTCTTCCCAGGTCTCTGCCTCCCCTCCCACCCTCGTCTGCCCCTCCCTGCCTTCCCTTTGTCGAGGGGCGGCAGCGCGTCGCTCCTCACTCCTCCTCGTTCCCCCCAACGACTG